GAATATATTTTTAAAACACAGAAACCTGACCACCAGCCGGGCTCGCGTGGGCTTTCTGATTTAAGGTGCTATTAAATTATTACATATTTAAGTGACTGACGCTTAATTATCCTTTTCCCAGAACCCAGATATGTGAAAGGAAGGCGTAGGGTAGAATTCGAAGGCCTGTGTGCCTGTTAGAAACACATCTGTAAATGGAGACGCTGGGAAATGCCATCACTTGTCCGGGGCCCAGATGCGGGGTGACACTCTGCCGCCTACAGTGGTGTCCGTACCTTCCCTCCGAGCGCCTACCTGGGGCCAGAGAGGCGTTGCCATCGGACACCGTCCGCCTGTGACTCGCTGCCCTTTTCTTCGAAGAAGCGCAGGGAGGCGCGTTCCCACGGGTCAGCTCCGAGGAGGGGAGACCCAGGTGCCTCCACACCCCGCTCTCAGCCTCGCGTCTGGGTGGGGAGGCGGGCTGGCATCCTCCTGCGGCCGGACAGACACCCGGAGTGGGCACGTCGTCGGGGGCACGCATGCTGTGCGCACCGCCCTCAAGGGAATCCCCGCCCTCCTCCTGCAGCAGGCACTTGGTGGAGAGGGAAGGCCTGGAGAGAAGACCCAGGGCGCTGGGCGGGGGCAGCGTGGCCGATGCCCGGGGGCGATCGGCGGCCCCCCGGGGCCAGGGTGCCCGCTGCAGGATGCCCTCGCGTTTCTTCCTTTCTTCCCTGGGCCCCGGCTCCTCCGCGGCCGGCACCCGGGGCAGCTCTCGGATGTCCAGGCCCAGGGCCACGGCCGCCAACAGCGCGGTGCAGCTGTACAGGGCGCCCTCCGTCCTTCTCCTGGGGGGCGGCCTGCTCAGAGTGTGGGTCGGGGTCCCCTGAGGGGTGCCCGCGGCTGAGGCAGCCTCCTCCCAGTTCTCAGTCTCCAGCGGGCTCTCTCGCTGCCCGTCTTTCCCCAGAGGCGGGTCCGCCGGGGCTGGCGCTGAGGGTTTGATCTGCTGTGGTTTTCTGGGCTCTGATCCGTCCGCAGAGGGTCTCGGGTCTTCGCAAGCACCTGAGAAAGGCAGAGATGCACCAAGGAGGAGCGTCTTCCAGGGAAAGTCCTTTAAACTACACGCGCAATAGCTCTAGTGCCAATTTGGCTCCGTGGATAGAGCGCCAGCCTGTGGACCAAAAGGTCCGGGTTCCATTCCGGTCAAGGGCACGTACCTCGGTTGCAGGACCCTGGTCAGGGCACGTGCAGGAGGCAACCAATCGATATGTTTCTCTGTTTTTCTGTTTTTCCCCCTCCTTCCCACTCTCTCTCTAAAAGATCAATGGAAAAATATAAGCCCTCGGGTGCACTGAGCACCTAGTATAGGTAACCAAACCCCAAAGTATCTACCCAGTGTCTACACGAAAGAGAGGAGAGGCTGTTGTCAAATGAAATCCATAGATTAATGGTGCCCGAACGGAGTGTGCCCAAAGTGTCCTGGTATGCCTCTAGGACAGTGGTTCTCAACCTGTGGGTCGCGGCCCCTTTGGGGGTCGAACGACCCTTTCACAGGGGTCGCCTGAGACCATTGGAAAACATCTATAATTACATATTGTTTTTGTGACTCGTCACTATGCTTTCATGATGTTCAATTTGTAAGCATGAAATCAGGGGTCACCACAACATGAGGAGCTGTATTAAAGGGTCGCGGCAGGAGGAAGGTTGAGAACCGCTGCTCTAGGAGGCGGAGTTATGGGGATCACAAGATTCTAAGAAAGAAGTAGGATGGCTCCTCGGAGGACTCCCTCTGTCTGGACAGGCACAGATAACCCCACGTAATAAAAGCCTAATATACTAAGTGTCCAGTCG